GAGAAGAAAATTGTTCTTACTTGAAAGCAGTGATTTATAATAGCATTTCTTGTCTCTTCAAAGACATGGTCTTGGTTTGGAGAAGTAATGATGGTTGCAAGGAAGAGGCATGTGCCATCCACATAGCAGCCATGAAGAGATGTGGCAAGCACACAAGGACAGCCCCGAAGTTGCATACATATAACCAGGGAAGATTCTTTTAAGTCGTCCCCTTACCAGGATCTCCCAACACTATTCAAATGGACTCCTTCCTGCCTTTGTGACATTGATACTGATTAGATTCCTTTTTAAGTCCTAAAGATCAAACTGCTGAATGTCAGCAGTTCCTCTCCATAACCTGCCTTTGCCCACTGCCACCTCTTTGTAGCAGGGAGGCAGCACTATACAGGAACATGTTATCATTTAGTTACCAATTTATCCCAGGCACTCCACTATTTCATAAGCTTTTTCAAGTAGGCTTCCCTCAGTACCATAATTGTCAGCAAGTTTGTTCTGTGCTGGCCACCCTTCCTTTTGTTTCAGTCTTTCATAAAAATCCTTTTGTGTGGCAGTCAAGCAGCTGTGCTTTGTTCTTTAATGTTTCTAGCCTGGATCCCCAGCCGAGATCACTTTATAACATAAACGGCAAAGTACCATTTTCACAGCAGGGACAACTGTGTTCATCTTCAAAAAGAGGCATTAATAAAATGAGCCTGTAATGAACATGCTAATTCTGATCGCAGGATAGCACACAAAGGCACAGACTTCACTGCCACCTCCCAGAATGACGGGAAAAGTTGCTCACATTCCTTTTTTTCTTAACAACAGCTATAATGGCTTATGTTTTATTTTTTTTGAGCAGACATATTATGCAAACATTTCTCCCTGCTTTACAATGCAATGCTGCCTCGACTCATCCAAACTACTCACTGTGTTTTACTATCTCAGTAACAGTCACCTTCAGGGAACTCGCTTTTTCCATCTTGCAAGAACTGACTTCCTGAACTACTCATATCAGTGAATCACAGAACAGTAGCTGAGAAGGGATCTAACTGATCAGAATACCAAGCTAAGGCTTCTCTCTACAGACGAGGTAAAGAAGAGAAAGAAGACACATAACGAAGAGAACATGGGCATGAGCAGATTGGGTAAGAACATCATAGATATCTGTCACAGAGCTCAAATGACAGGAGCATGGGCAGAAGTGCTCTGCATTGTCGAACACCTAAAGGTGACCATTTCCAGTCCTGTATAAAAGTATCACTTACTGAACTGTACTTATTAAACTTCATAAATGGAATGCCTCAGATTTGGCTGATAATATATTAGACCACCCTCTGTCTTCTATGAAAAATCTAGTTTCCCATAAGCAAGTGAGGAAAGCAATGTGATATTTACTATGCTTAGTTTGTGGTGATGCTGGTAGTGGTTTGAGGGGCAGCACTAACTGTATATGAGCAAATGTCTGGGCATAATCCATTAAATTTACAACATGTCTATTTTGTTTTACTAGTTTGAATGAAACATATTTCCAGACTGCCCTCCCAGCAAATGAATTCAAGACTCATGCATGTTATTTAGTCATGTTTGAAGGAAACAAAGGACTCAATTATTCTAGAACTTTATTTTAGAGAAAGGAGGGAATTTTGTGAGCAAGAAGGAATGATTCTTGACCCCTTTCCTCTAGCCCCCAAAGCAGCAGATATTCTTAGATTTTTGAGTAGTAAGAAGACACTGCTCAGCACCATCTTGTTTGCCCAGTGGCTGATGACACACATCAGTAGAATGCACTCACTCCTGGTTTCATTATATATATTTCTATGTTTCCCAGCAGATATCAGGAAAAGCTCACAGGCAATCAAGTCAGATACAGAGAACCAATTTTATCTAGATGGGAATTCCGACACTTAAGACAGACCTTCTGGTCCCTTGCATGCACCAACCTACAAGTCTAATATTCAATCCATCGTCCTCAGTAGTATTCCACAGTGGATAAGTCCTTACTGAGCTCTTAGTGATCCCTGCAGCCTTCACACATAGTCCACTATGGAGGAACAATATGTATCCGGCAATCATGCAAAGCCTCCTAAAGAGGCAGGTAACTAGTGCCAAGATGGGCTTGCACTTTCACAACAAAAGAAACTGAAGGTGATAATAATAGCAAAACAACCTGAACAGCCATATTCAGCCTGCATGTCCCACTCTGGGAACTACACACTACAGATGTATGCTTAACTTGCTTAACTGTCCAATATCTCATCCCAGGGTATGGTCAGCCTTGAGCTTTAAGTTGTCTGTCCTGTTTAAATGGTCATTTGAGAGTCAGGAAAATTTGAAAAAATTACTGAGGGAAAGTGTCCCCTAAATGCTCCTTCTGTGCATATGGAGGGTATTATTATTATAATGTCTTCTACATTTAGCCAGCCAGGTCAGACATTTGAATATCCAATTACTTAGGTTCTCCCAGAGCCTATTTGAAATAAATGAGTGCTCTCCATCCATCCTACTTAGACAAAAGCCATCATGACAGTTGGCACATTTTTGGCATTTGTCAGCAAAGTGGGAGGAAAATAAATGACCCATGTAGCTGCCACAGTCCTGTGATGAGGGCCACTGGACAGCAAGTGTAAAGTGGTCTCCATCTCATCCAGAGTGAGAACTCTTGAATATCTGCCAACACAATCCAAAAGAGAAAGTAAACGCAAGACAATCAGAAAGCTCGTTAGCTATAACACAAACACATTCGCCTCCCTAATATTCCACAATGTTCCAAGTCCAGAAACATTAGTTTATTGCTGACCTATTATAAAGTGATTGTTATTAATAGAATTATCAATACCTAGGAAACTTAAAGGTGTGACTTTGGGAAACAATGATGATTCCATCCTTAAGGATTTCATAAAATTGTAATGGAATAAAGAACTCTAAGGCTGTGACTATTCGATTATTCTGTTATTCAATATTCTTATGACACATTTCCAAAACAACTAAGTGCAGTTATCTATGAAAGGAACGTTAACTATGTTACTATAATCATGTATTTTTGTTCAAATGAATAACATATGACAAACAGTCATGCAGAAAAGTCAAGATCATATTGAAGTTGTCAAATGCATTTCTTTACACAGTGATGAACTATTTAAAGCAGAGGAGACAGGGGTCCAGCCAGCCAGGAAATAGGAAAACAAATCCCTGTGAATTTCTAAGGAAAGCAATACTTTCTGCCAACATTTTGTTAATATATACATGAATAAATAAAGATTAAGTGAAGAAAACAACATACATTATTTCCTTTGGAGAAATTCAAAGAGCCTTACATGATAAAAAAATCAAAAAGTTTCCAATTAACTTTATTTTATTTTACCTTTGTAGTAGACTTGCTACCTACTAGAATAATAAATAGTTATTGGAAGTTTAAAAGAATATCACAGGTGAATCTGAGGTTTGCTGTGGTATGGGTGTGTGAAAACTGAATCTTGGTTTTAGCTTTGGTTACAAACTGACCCCACATATGCATTCACCTAGATGTTCCATAGCATGAATACACCACATAAACACACAGATGAATAGCCCATTAAAATTTAACATCTGAATTTTAATAACTATCTGCATTTTATTTTACAAGATCTTGTAGCTGCCTAGTGGATTTCATTCCTCCTTTTATTTTTGCGAATATTGTAAAAACTTTTTAAAGTTTAAAATCTGTCTGTGTTTTATCATAAGCACAAAGACTTAGGACTTCTACCGTCATTGTTTGAGCTTAATAATGGGTTGAAATTGGCTAGAATTCTTTATAATTTGAGGCTTGGAGTACATACGGTTATGAAAGACTGTCTTTATGGGTAACCTGCAATGGACATGTACTTTGAATTGGATGTTTTCATTGTCTCTTGTTCCTTAGCTTGGTACTCAGTTTTCAAAGTAACTTTTGTGCTAAACTTCTGGGCTTTAAGAACAACAGCACAGGAATGTGGCCAGAAGTCTCACTTTTACAGAAAACTGATACACCTTTTCATTTGCCCTCACTTTCCACGTGCATGCCCCCTTCCAGAGAATTGAAGCACTAGTGCTGGACTCCATAACAGTTTTGCTCTCATCTTGGTTTCTATGTTTATAAAGTCCTCTTCTCTGGAGATGTTCCTCTTTACTGCAACTAGAAATTTCGCTTTCTCATTTAATTTGTTTTCAAATATTGTATTAAGAAAATTCCATTGTAAATTTTGCAAACAATCATTGCTGAAGAATAAAACAAGAAACAGAGACAGACAGACAAAGATACACAGAACATTCACATAATAATGTTACCAACCAGCTCTCCATTTAAACAATCCTCATCTCTACTCAATAATCACAACTAGAAATAGAGCAATCTGCCACATTTTACACTGCAGGGCTGTAATAGTAAAGGAACTCTACAAGACAGGCACGCTGCAGATCCTGCCATGCTTTATCGGGCTGCTTAAGCCACAAAGAAGAGGTGATCCACCATCTTATTTTATTCTTCAATGGATGTTCATTTAAAAATGATTGAAATAAAAGAATTATTTTTACATAAATACGTGTATCTGTTATCCTTGGCTTTAACCAATCCTTTTCGGAAAGTTAGCTCATCTTTGTATAGTTTGCTTCTTTAATTATGTTGTTGTCAGTGTCAACTTGGGTAGGAAATATGTACAAGAAACAGTAGATGTAGTTGTTCAAAACAAAACCAGGCACAAGTGATGTTAAGAAACGAACAACCCATACATTTCCTTATCTAGATTTTACTCAAATCAAAATGGCATCTGGTATTTAAAACAAACACTTTTCACTTTCATTTTCTCTTCCTGATTAGAATTGCTTCAAGTACCAAGAAGACATACACTGTCCACAAAACATTTGGCACATCTCAACATTTTACTTAAACCCTTTTCTCATATGATCATACCACAACATTGGTCTCTGAACAGTCCTCTAGAAGAACACTTGACATAGAGAATTGCTGCAATGACACAACAATAAGCTTGAACTTGAGCACTTACCACGTAAAACTGTGAGTCTGGTGGACACACTTATTTCTCCCACATTATTCGAGGCCACACATTCATAAATGGCCTCATCCCGTGGAGTCCTTAAGGGCTGTATTCTGAGAACTGATCCAGATCCATCATCAAATTCTATTACCTATTAGAGGAAACGATAGCTGTCACAGGTGTTGTTACAATTATCTACCTCTCAGCTAAACTTCTCAGTGCAGTAGTGATACAGCCATTAGGCTCTGAGTAGACCAAGCATCATCCTAACAGAGCACTGAATTCTAATAGGGTGGGAGAGTAGAACATTTGATGGAATTTATATACCTTGTACCAAACAAAAGAAAGATATACACAGGTATAGATTTCTACTCTCCAATAAAACAACACCATGATTATTCTCATTAACATATCTGAAGCTTAGTAAATACAGTAGTACACCATATTGCAATGGATAATCTTCCCTTTTGTTTCTCACTTTGGCAAGGCATGTGCTTATGTGGACCCATTTAATACCTGGGATATAAAATAAAAACTTAATGCTCATCACCACAATATTTCTGCATAAATCTAGTACTGAGGGAGACAACAAGAGAGCAGTCACATCCCAAAGCCTAGCAGCATGTATTGATTTTTTCATAAATTATTTCAGTCTTTGTTCCAGATTATTCCAGTGTTTTTTTTTTAATTTTTTGGGCCCTCTTTCCATGAAATGGAGGCTTGCCTCACCAGGTCAAAAGTCATTTTTGAAGTACCAGCCCTGAATACACTGTCATTGTGACCTCCACTGTGAAACAAAAGAGCAACACTGGTGATATGGGTACTAAAAACAGGTAAAAGAAACAATACAACATCTGCTAACCATGACAATGGCATATATGGATGGCAGTCAGGAACACTACCCTTCCATAACATGTTGTCTTCTACAGCTATCTTCTGGGACACTGCTTTTGTAGTGTTTCCATGTGCCTTGACTGTAAATAAACTGAGACTTTCTAACAAATAGAGTTATGAGTGGCTTAATCCTAGTTTCTGTGCACATGCATTAGCATGCAGAGGAAGGAATTTAAATATTTTAATTGTATTCACTTTTGTTCCTTTATGCATTCCATTTTAAATGTAAATTCAGAGATAATCAATTTCTCAAAATATCACTATGTATTTTCAGTTCTATTAAGCACACATTTAAAAATGAATGTAGTATACATCTAAGAGAAACAAATGTCTAGTTACTATAATCTATCTCAAATGTCCCACAATTTTATGTAAAATTATTTATGAGTCTTCTATATTTTAATATAGGAAAATATATAAAGATCATTAATATAAATTTCAATTAATCATATATTAAACATCATTGTATACTCAGATTCCTTAACCATTTTGCATACAGAAACTATTCTATGTTGTCATGTATTAAAAGCCAGTCTTCTAATTCCCAATTTGCAAGACCATTTAATATGCAGCAGCCAATGTATGCTTACCATGCACCAGTGTTTGGCATCAACAGATGTACCAGTAAAACCAGTTTCATCTGCTACTCACACAGGCATACAAGGTGTATGAATGATGTGTGTGTGTGTGTGTGTGTGTGTGTGTGTGTGTGTGTGTGTGTGTGTATACATACTTGTTAAAGATTTTCAATGCAAGACTCAATATGACTTCAGGTAGCTGCTTCATATAAAAATATTTTCCCCTGAATTTGTTTATATACATCTCATTAACAGGTCTGAAAAAGAACATCTCATGCTTTGAAATATATATTTCTATCATTTATTTTTAACAGATTTATTCAGGAGATCATACTTAACAGAAAGCATATCAAAGATCACTCCTCTTGATGAAAAACAGAAAAAAAAACATTTTAACTATAAAAAGGGAAAAAATCATATACCCCAAATTCACACACACACACACACACACACACACACACACACACACACACACACACACACACATCATTTTTTATATGGTGCAGGAAGTTTCTTGAAGATATTTTAAGACAAGATAAAACCATTCTGTTTTAAATTCAAATACATCAAAGATTTATATCTAAATTTGTAAAAATTATAGGTTATGATTTGAACTCAAAATTTTAAATTTCGCTATTATCACTAATCAGAATTTTTATGAATCTGAACTCATGGTCTTGCTATACTCTGAATGATAATGACACACTGGGTTTTTAGTCGTGATATTTATTTTCACCAGAGATTGCTGTTAGTTTTCCAAACTGTGAATTAGGCCATGGAATCTATTAGAAAATCAGGCAAAAAGGAATTGAGTTTTTATAATTTGTGATAATCCAGGAGACATTGTGTCCCCTATAAATGATAGTACACTCTGTGTGTCTTTATTTAAAAGTGTGGTCTGCTTCTAAATGAACAGATTTCTAAGCCACACACTTCCTCCCAAGCACTCTGGAGGAAAGTCTGAAATGATTTATCATCATTGAGCACTTTTTCCTGAAGGAAGAAACAAAGTCTCCAACAGATTCCCTGTGTCATTAGTCTATCAGAGTTGTTTCTTTCACATGGTCCCTTACACTAAAACACTGAAGTGTATTTCTTATTCTAGTCCACAGGACTACTGAAGTTGATCCTTGCTGTTCTTAATTCACTCTCTTGCCTTTTGGTAACAGTGACTGAAATTCCCTTCCAGGAAAACAATACTGCATTTAAACTATAGGATTGCATACAACTGACCCCATTCTTAACAACAAAGGTATAATCTGTTTAGAATAAAGTAGTTGACAGCATTTACTCATTCATATTGAGGGCTCAGATGTAATATATTGCTTAGTATACCTGAGGGGGATAAGAATTTCTAAAAAGATGCACAATTTTGTGCAGCTTCTGGACTGGGGAAAGTGAGGACATGGGATTCTATGTTGCAATTTTAAAAGGATGCAGTCTGAAGATTAGCAGACAGATCCTGGACTGCTATAGGCCCTTTAATGGCAATAGAAACCAGAATCTCAGGCATGTGCTCTACAAAGTCAAATCCCCAGACACTAGCTAAGTCCTTACACAAGTAGATATAAAACTCAGCCACTGCAATGACCACCTTCTCTATTCTAAGAAGACATGGAGTTACAATGCTCATTGCAGGTGACATAACTGTCACACCTCATTGCTAATGACACCTCATATCCGTGCAGAGAGTGAATAGATGTGTTCTTCCCCAGAGAAACAGAACAATGGACCTAATACCTCAAATCTCTGGTTGCTGACTTTCTTTCCTTTTTTGTTCCAGACAATTTTAGGTCTTGGGTCCCCTGTAGCTTGACAAATGAAAGACGCAACTCCGCCAGAGACCCCTGTCTGATCAACTGGAGTTCTTGTAAACCTGGGAGGTGCTGAAATAAGAAGAAATAAACACCACAATTAGCAGGAATATAGAAATACATTACCAACTACACAGTTCCTCTCACAGTCCCACTGGCTCACCCACAGTATCAGTGTTGGAAGGTTAAAAGATGAGGCAAGCACATTACTTTTGAGGGTAACTTTGTGGTCAAGTTCTATTATCTGTTAGCGCTTTCATTGCTGAAACCTGTATTAAGGCAGAGATCCAATAACATCCAAAAAGCAACATCACACATTAATTTTTATTACCAGTATTTAAAAATCCAATTTGTCCTCTGTAACAAAAAGCTCATCAATCAAAGTGAGTAAATTCCAGCGCATTGCTTTGATGTCACTATCAGGACGCTGCCAGAAAGGATGTCTGCCACTGTCAGGCTATTAAAATTAGTGACATTTAAGAGAAGTTCTAGGAAACTTTAAAGAGACAAGAAATATAGCCTAGAATTAGAAGGCACAGCAGGAATCAGGAAAGGAAAATGGCATGGGGACTTGCACACATTGTCTTGTAACCTAGCTCTTCATTTCATGAAAAAGAAGGAAGGAGAAGGTTCCCAAGCCACAGGGAAAGGGGAAATTTTAGGAAAGAGCCATTGACAGTTAGTAAAGATAAAAGAATGGAAAATGCAGTTCAGCATCTTCATTTCAGTTAAAACATTCAGCAATCACACTGGGCTTCCTCTTGAAAACACTTCTTTCCTAGCTTATATTTCAAAATCTAAAAACCATCACAGAGTGATGACGTAAGAGGTAGATGATTAAATATTCAAAATATACAAAAATTTTCATGGTATAACCTCATTAGCAGAGGAATATAAGTGGAATAAATATAATTATTGTTGATGTTTATGTTGAAATTGATTATAACATAAAGATGAAATATTGTATATTTCATGAAACTATGTCATCATGTGGTATGAGAAACACTTTTGAGTCAATGGGAAGCCACAAATACATAATACATAATTCTATCTGAGTGACATCTGATAAGAAAACACATAAAATTATGCAGAGTATCTGAAATCATTAATGATGGTCATTTATGAAGTCATACTTTAATGGCTGTTCCTATGACTTCCTATCGTTGGTCCACACCTGTACAATATTTAAAAGATTACATTTTGATTTGTGGTTATATACTATCTGTTTCTATGTGGGCACACATGTCTGCAGAATCTAATGAGGTCAGAACATTAGATCTGACATGAGATCGACTGGAGCTGGACTTACAGGTTGTTGGCCACCAGGCATGGGTGCTGGGATCTGGTTCAGTAGCAAGAGCTTTGGTCTGCTGAGCCATCTAGCCTTTTTCTATATTTTAGATTTATAATTGCTATATTTGAAAATGTTTTAAAGTCAAGAACATTTTACTTTTCCATTTTCCGTTCTTTTAATCTGCTACAGACTTTGTCAATATTTCTCTTCACTATATCACTGATAATAGCTATGAATAGTTCTACTTAACATGTATTTTGAGTATTATCTTCAAATTCTAGGGTAGAAGAAAATAATAGTAACACAGTGTCCTCTTTGCTTACCACTACCATGAAATCTGCCCTCAGTCATGTTTCTACCTCTTGTCTTTGCAATCCCACAACATGTTCTGACTCAATTTGATTTCTCTGCAGACAGGAAAACCAGATACCTATCTGAGGTCCACTGTTATTTGACAAATGATGATGATTGTGATAGATACGTAGGTAAGGAGACAGACAGACAGACAGACAGACAGACAGACAGTAGCTGGCACACAAATAGAGGAATTGGAGGAGAAAATCATAGATTTACTGTTTCTTCACTGTCAAGATATGAGATAGAAATAAATTATTTTTCAAATATTACCGCAGTTTTGAGGTTTCCTATCTAATTATATGATTCCATACATGAAGGAGTTCAGGAGAAGGGAAAGAGAGAAGCATCCTTACAAGCTATTCATAAGAACTGACTCGTCTTCTCATGATCAAATTGGGCTTTTTGATGCCTGGAACATTTTTGTGTCCAGAAAAGTTAGGAACAAAATGGCTCTCCCAGCTCTCTTCACTATCACATGCTGTGGGATTATGGGTAGAAATACAAATAAGGTAATTCCTATAAACAGGGGGAAATACTTAAAAAGAATGAAATTGACTAACAATGAGACTGATTTAAAACAAAACAAAACAAAAAACTAATGATGACACTTTTCCGAAAACAAACATTGGTGTAACCAAATTTTCTTATTTTACTTTCCACTATTTCAAGCAATGTAAATTGACAATAAATACTCCCTTGTCAGTTCCTTAAAAAAAAAGAAATTCGGAAAGATAAAAATGATCTCATCTATAAAACATAATTAATATGAAAAGAAAATTTCTAGTGATTGTCTTTGAGAAACAAAAAGCACATTGCTTTGCTATCTTAAATGTCACAATACTGTCAACTTTGAGTCCCTTTAATTTCCTGTCTATATTCCAAAATTGACCAAACTGAATGAAAATTCATATATATTGTTTTGAAATTTCTTGCAAGAGTGTAGAAAAAATTTAAGCACCAGTGGATGAGATGACAAAACACACACACACATACACACACACACACACACACACACACACACACACACACACACACACCAACTGTATATTTAATTACCCTAAAACAACTGTGGGTTCCTCTGCACTGGGAACCTTTGTAATGGGATGCTGTTCTGTTTTTCTTTCTAAATCATAAAGAAAAGTTTTTGATGGGGGAGGTCCTTCTGTGTATATGTTTGTCTTCTTGGTTGATAAATAAAGCACTGTTGGCCAGTCAGGAAGAAGGATAGGTGGGACTAGGAGAGAAGGAGGATTTTGGGAAATGTAGGAAAGGGAGAGAGTAGCTATGTGATCCCAGGAAGAGAGGACTCATAGGCCGGTGTCCTCGGTAAGATAAATCCTTATAAAAATATATAGATTAGTAGTTATGGTTGATAATTAAGACCTAGCTAGCAAATAAATCCTAGTCATTGGCCAGCAGCATTATAACTAATATAAGAATCTGTGTATTATTTGGGGGCCCTAAAGCGACTGCAGAACCCAGGCAGCTGGCAGAAAGAGTTATCGTTACAAGTTTCAGATTCATACAATCTGCAAAGAATATTTGCCACATGGAGAACAGCTACACTTACCCACAGTTTCCAATCCATAAAAGGAATAAATGTAATTTTTCTATGACGGGAAGCAATAGATACTACCAATAATCCTTTCAGTAGGCATACATATTATATAAATAATTGCTCGGCCTGGACCAATTCAGAGACTGATACTGCCTGTTCTTGGCTGAGAGCCATTAGAAGATATATAATAGAGAGCTAAACTCCATGATTCCAATAATGCTAGGGGAAAGTGAAAATTTTCATCTTCAGAGGGCATAACAACATGAATCATGAATCTCCCATCTACCTTGGCAAAGGATGAAAAGAACTAGATGGACATTCAATCGTATTATAGTGCACACTCTTCCCAAATGTTAGTCATGGTTTGGAAAAGGAAAGAGAAATATGCAATTAAAAGAGTAAATCAAAGTTTGACTAAAACCTCATAGACAAGAATATCACAAAGGAGCCCATCACAAACCAGGACATCACACACAAGGGTAGGAACAAGGCTATGTAATGAAGGGTTCCACATTTTTCTACGAAATACAACCATCAATGTAGGCTTAGCCTGAAGAAAAGAAGCAAAGAATACAAGGAGGAAGTAAAATGAAGAAGTGTCCAGTCTCCACTACTTAAAGCCCTGGTCTTCTATGCCTAATGCAGCTAGCTGGCTACCACTGCTCCTCACATAAAGGTATCAAGACTGTGCTTTATGCAAGGTATTTCTACTCAAGCAGATTTTGACAAGTAAGAAATTTTATAAAAACATACACACACACACACACACACACACACACACACACACACACACACACACACACACGGAGTGAACTAACCAAGACTAGCAAGCTATCTTGGGCAATACCTAACCATAGGCACTACTGAGGACAAAGTTGTCTCTTTAGTACTACTGTTAGGTAGAGCCAGACGTTAGCAGGACAAATCAACTGAAGAATGATCAGCATATAAGGAAGAATACAGGAGAAATTCTTAAAGTTTAAGATGTCTCAGGTTTGATATAATTTGGTTGGTCAACTGTGACTCACTTAAAATAGGATCATAGAGAGGAGAACATGCTATAAAGTGAAGGAAGAAATGTGGTGCCATTTGTCTAATTTAACTCTAATTAATATGATGTTTCTGTGGACATCAAGGAAATATGTCTCCCAGGGAAAAACACTAAGCAGCATGTAACTAATTGGCTTCGTTTCTTCTCACTGATTATCATTTCTTTAAATAGAGAGTTTTGATTTTAAAGGGATAGTAGTCATAACGTTGTACTGAAAATCCTGAAACGAGAAGGTTAATAATGCTGTTGTATGATATAAAAGGAGAGAGAGAAAGAGAATGTTCAGTAGGAAGATGCAGGCAGCCTGTGTTTAGGAACTTGCTTCCTCCCCTATGGTGAACCTTCAAGTTAAGCTATCTCAGACCTGTCCCTGAAGATGTCAAGGCTAGAACTCTGAAGAACAGATCAGGAACATGGTACCTGTAATGACTAAGTGGGGAATGAAAGTATAAGAAGGTAGTTCAAGAAAGTGTAAAGGCCAAATCAGGCTTCCCCTACTCTTTCAGTTAGAAGATGTCTTATTGCCACTGATGGGAACATGGAGAGTGGCTAGAGGTTGTATGCATGCTATTATGATAATCTTGATTTCCTCTGAGAAGAAGTATCAGGAGGAGACAGTGATAAAACTTCCTGGGCACATGAAGAAAGATGGAGGTTTCCAAGGTGATGTGTACCTAAGGAGGATAGAGCCCACCACACAGTTATGATCTGTATAGTTCTCCTCATATGTGTTCTGTTAACTGCCTAAGCGGGGTGCCTCACCTTTCACATGGTTTGTTACACTGGATCTGAACAGTCTCGCTAATATATCC